ATTCACGATGTTTTATATGACAAACCAGTGACAATAATGCCTGCAGCAAAGCGTCATAAAACACTGTTAAGTATTAAGGCACAACTGATGTTGCTCGTGAAGAGGCTGAGTTTAGTTTTGTGAAGATTTACAAATTTGCAGTGTTTGAAAAGATATATCGTAAACAAATTCGACATTGAACATAAGTTGAAAGTGTTACATAATTTCCAGCCTCCCTTTTAGCATTTGCATTTGGTAGAGGGTTAAATTGACAAAGACAATGCAGTATTTTAATTCCACAGTAGAGAAAGCCATACAGCTTCAGTAAGTAGGTATAGAAAAAAATATCAATATTGGTATTGCTTATCAGCCAAATGAGTTTTAGTATATCGGCATATCGGATATCGACCAAAAATCCAATATCGTGCATCCCTACTTCAAGGAAAGACGTTTTTGAGGAGTAGTGTAGCCTAGGCTGACTCAAATTCTCTGTCACTACACAAACAAAAGGAGAAACAGAGAAAAGCTTTTGACCACTCTGCAGCTGCAATATCTCAGCAGATTTTATATCACCTCAGATCCTCCTCTCCTCTATTTCGTCTCCTTGCATATCTTCCCCTTATCCTCCACATAACCTTCAGTGCAACATTATTGTTCTATTCTCTTTAATAAATCTTCATCACGTGACCCTCCATTCGTTCATCCCCAAAGTCTCTTTCCTTGAAGTCTCTTTCCATCCCCCTACTTTCCTTCCACCTCACCAATAATGAATCCATAAATTGGAGCAACACAGCAGTGGTTACAGGTCGAGGTTGGGGGTGGGGGAAAGGGTGGATGTAACGGAAGGGGGAGGAAGAGAAGAGCCAGGCTCGACAGAGAAGAGGCGACAGGTATCTGAGAGGAAATGGAGCTAAGGAGAGGCAGGGAATGGATTCATTCCTGCAGATAGGAGAACTGATATGACATCAACTGCCGAAGAGACAGACTGCAACGGGAAAAACAGTCGAGAAGGTGCTGAGATGGAGGAGAAAGACAGGGACAGGGCAAGGAGGCTCTGTAAAATTGGTCTGGGAATTAATTTGCACCAGGTAAGGTATAGCCTTGGAACATGCCAGCCTAGTCAGATCAGAGGTCCTGTGGAAGGGAGACTGATCACAATGGCAGCAGATGGTGGAAGGAGAAATAGTCTGCTGATGGCTTATGGGGGAGGTGATGGAAGGAAAGGCAAGATGTTTGCTACAGAATAACATATACAATCCCATGAGAAGTATTGTCCACATTCCAGATATCTTCTCTTTTTTTTTCTTTTGCATTCCACTTATATGTTTCAGATCATAAAACAATATCAGACTTGGCTGAACCGATTAAATACAAAATGCAGGTTTCAAATTATAATTTAGGTTTTTTTTTCTAAGAGATGAAAGCCTTCCAAACCAACAATTTAAGAGTTTTCAACTTCAGGCAGTCATTAGGCCTGGATGTGGCTAGTAATATTAATCAACTTAACTCCTGACCAAGCCAGAGGTTGACTCGGATAGATTTCTTTCCCTAAAAAAACAAAATCATCATTTGAAAAATGCATTTTTTTGTCAAAATCAGTTCGATGATCTGAAACATGCATGTGATAAAAAAAAAGGGAAAAAAAGAAGAAATCTGTTAGGGGGTACATACTTTTTCACAGAATCTTAGCAGCGAGAGATGAGGCCTGGCTAGACGCACACAAAGCTCAAATGTACTGTGAAACACGAGCAACAACACTGCTACTGCAGTGGCCCCGCTGGAATGCCAAACAATGGTGCTGCTGGGTGTCGAATATAATCATTTGTCTGTGAATCATCACTTTGCAGCATTACTAATTACTCCGGTGGTGTTGGACTAATACATATTGGCAGCACTGTAGTATTCATTAGCAGATAAGATTTCTGTCTCAGCTGCAAATGAAAAATTTAAGGGGTAATTTTAATTTCTTTTACATCATAAACAAGCTTGCAAATGACTTTGGATATGAGATAATATATTTTAGCTGAAGCATAAACTCCAGATTGATGGTGCTGCTGAATGTTGATTCCTCATTTCTGCTGCATAAATTTATCTAAGTCATTAAAATGTAGATGAAATGACTTATTTGCTTGGTTTCAGACTCTATAATCATTTCTCATATGTGTACACTGTTTTCCACTTTTAAGTTTTCACAGTACAGTTGACACCTGAAGCCAGCGATGCTTAGAAACTACAGGAAGGAAGAGGAGGCTGGATGGGTGGAGCGGGAAATGAGTACTGTTGGCTGTGGTGCTCAATTTGCCATGCTGAAAGAGTGTTAAGCTGTATGGAGGCAAAACTGTGCTTAATACCATCAAAGCAATCAACACAGTGGAAAAAAAAAGCGAATATATAAATAGCAAAAAAGAGGTAGTCTCAAACCAAGCCATGCAAAAACATCAAGAACTGCTCACATAAAGAAAAAATAAAAGGCAAATCTCATCAAAGCTGACTTTTAGAGAAAAAGGAAAAAGAAAAGTCTGCAGAGCTGAAACTGAACCAATAAACGGTGAAACAAGCTGCAAAGGTGTCCCATAAAAATAAAAGATAATAATAATAATAATAATAATAATAATAGCAATGATCATACAGAAAAAACAGCAGAAAGCATTGTTTTGACATATGAAGCCAAGTTGCCATTACCTGAGCGTAAAACTCCCAACATTCCCCCTCGAAATGAATCTAAACCCTTGCAGGTAATTTGGGTGTAAGATAGATTTTAGCTTTTGTTGAGCCAAGTAATTCTGCATCTGCTCAGGTAAAGGCAACTGGAGGCACGGCAGCATGTTGTGATGCTGGCTGTAGGCATGCTGTCTGAAGTCTCTGCCACCATTGTGCTTGGATCTACCTACTGGTGCCTTTGCTGCTTCCAGCTGCCTCTGCTGTGTTTCCTCCATAGACAGGAAACGCAGAAATTCCTACCGCAGAACCAAAATAACGCTTTATAACTAGGAGATGGCGTGATTTCTCTCTAGTCCTAGATTATGGCTCTCATGCGGAGAACCCTCACATCTGATTGGCATCGCCAAATACTTTTGAACTCGTTTGAGGGTATTTTTTTCCGTACAGGAACAATCGGCCTATCAGTCTTGCTTGTCAACAGTTGAATTCTTCAAAGACTTTTACAAGCCTGTGAATGAAATGACTTCCTGTGTTCTCGCTCAGGTTGTATTCACTCCCCAGAAGGCTGAAGACGCCACAAATCTCTGTGTGAAACGAAAGCTTTCTGTCTGAGCTCAACAGCTGCTTTCTTATTGCTATGGCTGTTTTTACACCTACAGCATTTTCGCGATTGAAGGATCCGCCTCTAATAAATAACATTATCTGTTAATAGAAGTTTAAAGTTTTCATAACCCTTCAAGTTTTTCAGATTTCGTCAGGATTTGTATAATGTATCAATGCTAATCAGTACATTTTGGTGAAGTTGAAGAAACGTGACATAGTTTTCAGAATAAAAAAAAATAAAACTCTGACCAAATTCTCTGACCAAATCTCCACAGCATGATTCTTCCACTATCATGTTTCACCACAGCTAATTTCCTACCAGACACAGCATTTTCCCTACCAGCCAGATAAATTCAGTTTGGTCTCATCCTTTAGCCACATGTTTGGTTTAACCCCTTCACCACTTCTTATGTCTTTCCTTCAGCCGTTTCATTTTGCCGTGAGAGAATTATGAATAACTAAAAGTTGTTCTTTAGAGAGTCCTCAACCTGAGCTGTGGATGTGTGTAGCTCCTCCCGAGTCACTACAGACCAATTAGCTTTGATTGATGCTTTTCTTGTCCAGCCTGTCAGTTTGTCGTCATGTATTGATAAGGTACTGAATTATTTTAGTAAATATTCAAGGCCGGGGATGTTGTTTTATAACCAAACCCTGTTGGAGCTGATCTGCAACATCATACATTGATTGCTGTTTGTTCACAGGACAGCTGGACTCATACTGACATTCAATTATGCACAGCTGGGCTCTTATTTTCTAATTAAATGATTTTTTGAGATGTTAGGTTGCAGTTTTATTCATGTCTATCAAAGAAAAGGGCTAAAAATAATTCCATAGTGTAGTTCTCGTATATATTTCTCCAGGTATAAAATGAAAAACTGCATTTTCCTCCATTTAACTGTCATGTCCTTTGACTTATGTTGGTCAATCACATAAAATCCATATAAAATGTCTGGAAATGTTCAGTAGGTTTGAATAAGTTGGCAAGGGACTCTATTATTTTATTATCAATTAACTTTTATAGCCTATATTTTTAACAATGTTGAAGCTGGTTCTAATTGCAGAACCATGAACAAGTGACGTGTTGCTTTAATAGGGTGTGTTATACATCGGTCTGTCCCATCATAATGAACTGGCGGCCCTCCAGAGACCTTTAAATTCCCTCCTTCGATTGGTCCCTAGTCTCCTCCTCCTCTATCCTTTTCTCTGTGACTCATTTATCCAACGAGCTGCCCTTGAGGCGGCACAGCATTAGGCAGGTTGTTAACACAGGAGAAAAAAGGGCGTTCAATGTCATGTCACCGTGTCGCGAAGGATGGCACAGCCGGCAACCAGGCCATCTTCTCCAGGAAATAAATACATCGCCATCTTCCTTTTCAGAGTGTAATGGTCTGGATATTACATCTCCTATGGGACATTACAGTCCACAGATAATAAATCCACACTACTCTGCGTGTGTGTGTGTGTGTGTGTATTTGAGTGTGCATCCTAATGAGCGCTGAGTGTGTAGGTGCACATGGGTGAACGTGTGTCATCTCGCTTGTTTGCTACTTTTCTGCAGCTGGTTTTTCGTGCACAGCATGAGGCAATTTGTCCCCTAGAGAGAAAACCATCCACCATCTATACACCGCGTCAGCTGGAAGCAGCAAGGCAGCCGTAAATCTCAATTACATAAACCTCCCCTACCCCCTTCCACTTTACATCCCCACCCTTCCCCCCTCATTAGCCTGTTGCCACAGGCAACAATGGACCAAACTGACCGATTTCTGTTACGTTCCAAGGCTTACCAGTGGCTTCAGGTTGAGTCTGAGAGGGCACTGCCACATAAGGGTCCTCCCCTTTGTCTGAACTCATAGGGGGGTCCTTCCGCCCCAGGGGCCCCTCGGCTGCCTCGGGGAGGGCCGAGGTGGGAAGTGAAAGGGTGTGGTGATGGTGGTGGTGGCCTGTCGGACACAGCACAGGTTAACTTCTGCTCAGAGCAAACAGGACCAAGCTCCAGTGGACACAGGCACAGACAGACCAGCTAGACTGCTCACACACACGCACACACACATATATACACACACATTCAGTCCTCAGATGAATAAACACACACTCAGACAGCTGCTGGGCTGTGTGAGGGTTAACAAGGTGTTTCCCTTGTGACCCTCTGCAGCTCATTACCAATTACATGTGTGTTTCTAAGGATTGACACGTTTCCTCTTCCTGTCATTTCCCTGCGTGTCTATCGTCTCCCCCCGTCCTGCTCTGATTGACATGTCAGATCTCTGCTGGGTCTGTCAGATGATAATTTCTCCACTGTAGCCACAGGGTGCCCCGCTGTCATATGTAGGACAAAAGACAAACTTTCTCCTCACTGGTCCTGTTGAGGATTCTGCCTGTAACTGCTCTTTAACTACAAAGGAGCCTTTAACTCAGAACATTTTCTCCCTGCTGTTTTTTTGTATACTTTTGTTCATTTCAAGGTTTTGATCAGTTTTGTAGCTGTGAAGTTAAATGTGCATAGCTACAAAACTGATCTGGAACTTGGAGTAAACTTCTTGAACTTGCAGAGTAACAGATTCAGAGCTTTGTAAAAGCAATCACACCTCTTAAAGTGATACGTTTCCTATGTGTCTGGAGTTTATGTGATAAATCCACACAAAGTATGTTAAAATTGGGAATAATACATTGTCTTCAACTAAAAATAAAAACATATAAAGGGCGGTCCACATTCATATTCAGCTCCCTGAAATTCAAGTGCAATCAATTCATATCTGTCAAGTTTTAGATTTAAAACTATGGGAAATTCTTGAGCCAGTGCTACCGTAGGAGCAGAGGACGGTGTGTAATTATGTTTTAATACAGAAAGTTTACAGGAAAATACTAATATGAGAGCATGGAGGGGAAGAGGGGTAGTTTCCTGGCCAAAACAGGAGACCTAGGTATGTCAACTGTCAAAACTGAACCATATTGGTCCCTGAACAATCAGTCACCTTTTGATGAAACATGGCATCATGACGTGGGGATGCTTTTCTTCCGTAGAGAAGTGATATATTCAGAGTTGACGGGAAAATAGATGGAGTTAAATGCAGATCAATACTGGAAGAAAACTTGGAATGTCTTGATGTCTCCCTAGTTCAACCAATTCAAATTTCTAAATGATCGATAAACTATTTGTTTGCTCAAGGTGTGTTGGACATGACGGACGCTGGCCCTTGAAGACCGAAATTGGGCAACTCTGGTTCAGAAGGAAGCATGTTGGTGTGTCAGAATGGCCTAATCAAAGTGTCAGAAGTCAACTGATAAAACTGCTTAAAAACTGCTGTTCACTGGTTCATCCAAACTGCCTGAACTTTACTAATAAGAATGGGTGAACATGTTCATCTGTAAATACAAACATATTTGTAATGAATGGTGGTTTCATAAAGCACTGAATCGGAGGAGGTGAATACAAATGCACTCCACATTTCAGATTTTACATTGTCAAAAAGTTTGAAAAAACATCAGTCATTTTCCTTCCACTCTACTCTACGTGTTTGTCCATCTCAACAAACCTCAGTGAAATAGAAATGTGAGCTGTGGATGTGAACCCACTGTGAGCTCTTCTGTGGGTGATGGATCATGCGTATCTCTCTCCTGTTTACATGCAGACATTGCTTACACCGTCAGTTTTCCTCCACCCCCCTTTCTTATGCTTCTCATTGTTCTTCATGAGCAGAATTTATGCATAAGCTTTGTTTGACTGTATTTTCGAACCGTGACAATCACATTACCATCCCACATGCTAACAGTTAAGCCTCCCTAAACAGTTTTGCTCCTATAAATGGGATATACCATGATGTACTTAAGCCATACGGCAAGGAGAAAAAAAAAAAAAAAAAGCCCTCGATTAAGAGCGACGACGCTTTTATCTACATCGGCTCTGCAGATCTCTTCCCCCAGTTACCGCTTTTGACAAGCCCTCTCCGTGGAGGAGGTGACAGCATGGGAGTGTGTGTTTGTTTGAGGATGTGCACGTTCAATATGTGTTTACGCTTGTGTTTGAAGACGGGGAGGCGACGCCAGGAGACTGCTCACAACAGACCCCCCTCGCAGAATGCCACTCAAGGCCTCCTCCTCTTCTGTGTGGCGTGGCAATCATTAAAATGATTTATTTAACTATTGGCCCAAGGCTGAGAGATTAGTGTGACAGGCCTATTTTATAATTCATACCCCACCAACAGGGGAAGTGCAATTCAGGCAGATGACACACATACAGGGAGCCCAGAGACTCTGCACTCCTTCCGAGATCAGGAGAGGGGGAAAAAAAACTGCCAACGGATGCACATCCCTCTCTTTCTACAGATTAAAGAGAGGCGAGGGTGTCTCGTCTGGAGTAAAAAAGATGAGATTTTAGAGGCTGCAATAATTTATCTTAAAATCCATATCAACCGCCAACAGATAGATAGAGGGTTTCGGGAAATGGCTGGGACCGAGTCTGGACGCAGTAAACCGGGTGTGAGTTTTTTGTCTGCGCCTCAAAACGCACATCTCTAAGCATATTGCACACGAGGAGGGGGAGCACACCAACACAGATGCTTTTTGGATGACCCTGGATCTCCAAAAAGAAGGGAGAATCACAGTGGGAGTACAGCCACAGGGGGGTGAGTGAGAGGGCTTGCTGGAGAGACTTCAAAATATCTATTCTCGTCATTCTGCATGGATCTGACCGTTTTGATCTGGCAGCTGTGAGGCACTCTGTGTGTATGCGTGTGTTTGAGAGAGAGCGCGAGATGGAGCTGAGAGGGATTCACTAAAAAGAGCTAATTTGTCCTGTGATTAGATAAAGAATATCTTTGTAAGTTTACATGTAGATGAGAGTGGCTTTGCTTCAAGTATCAGCTACTCAGGGATGATTCTGATACCAGGGTCCCGCACATTTTTTAAAGCCCAAATTGCAGACGACGTTCTCATCCTGTAGAGACGAAAGTGAAAATACCAAAGTTCACTACTAATACTTCCTGCAAAGGTGATAGATGTATTTATGGATAACCAGATGTATAAATGTTTGATGGAAGGATGAATAAATGAATGGATGAATGTCTTATGACAACGCTGAAGGAACCCTGGTAGACCGTGGTGGATAAGAAAAGCATACGTATGAATAAAGCTGTGTGATGCTGTTTGGTGAGCATAAACACACTCTCAACTGGGCAGGTTAACATCTCGCGGTCTCTATCGACACCCATCTAATGCACACAGCGAAGAACTTCCTCACTATCAAAGCCTTTAACCACCAACAACCAGATCCATCCAATTAACAAAGCAAAGGTCATAGCTAATCAATGCTGCAGCACAAGCGAAGGAGGAAGATGGAGCTACTAAACAAAGGGTGAGGGAGAAAAATGTCTAACAAACTAAAGGAATCAGTATCAAAGATGAAAGATTTTCATCTCTTCCACCTTTAAACACCAAAAAGGAACTACGTAAGAGCGTGACTGACTTTCCATTACCTTCATAACCGGAAGGGATGTCTATCAAAAAGAAAGGAATGAAATCAATTTGGTTAAAACCTGGAATCATTAATAATCTGTCTTTACACATGTGGGAGGAGTTTTTCATTTGCTTGAGAGGGCAAGACTGACTGAGCTGATGAAGAGGTGTGGCTGAAGTTAAAGATTTAGTGGGGGAAAGGATGGAGCTTCAAACTCCATCCTTTATGAGTTTGATTGCCGTGAGGTGGATGAGGAACACTTACCATTCAGTGCCACAAATGTATCTGCAGAGAAAAAGAAGAAAAACGAAAGGAAACCTGTTATTGTGGGCAATGAAAGGGAGCTTATATGCTTTAACACGATGGAAAACCATGACTTTTAAAGTAATTCAGAGTTGGCTGGCAGCTCAATATTCTCTTTCCGTCCAATCAAAGGGAATTTTTCAGGGTTTTACGGCTGATGGAGGTATAATTCTCTGGGTTAGCTCATAAACACACAAATGAAAGCAAAGGAGAAAATTACAGCCTTTATAGAGTTATTTACTGATTTGATTCAATATCAAACACAGAATAAAGTTTCAGTACTTGTTTGCAAGTGCTAACAGAGTGCATTTGGTCCTGAAAAGAACAAATATACTGTCTCAAAGTGTGAAGAATAAAAGCCCACCTTTTAAGAATAGAGGCTGCCTTTGAATAGTCTTGTTTTTGCTTTCAATATAACAGTTCCTGCGACTTTTCACATCTACAAACTCAGCGTGCTGCTGAATTGTTTGTGTTTTTGAGGAAATGCTCGAAAAGAAACTCAGGGTTTGCCCAATGGGACACAGGGCTCTATTGACCAGGGACCGGAGAAACAGCGGGGAAAGGACACAAGAGGCTGAAAGGGACAGATGGATGGAAGACGCTTGAAAGAGGGAATTGTAAGGCCAGAACAGACAGGAGAAGAAAAAGGTGACGGCAGCAAAGAAGGAAACGACGGGCTGAGAGGTTAGCAGAGTTAACAGAGAAAACAGGAGACGACGTGGTAGTGAGGGAGGTGTGGAAAAGAGAAGGAAAGATAAGAGTGAAGAGGGCTTGCTTACTTTGGCAGTCTCCCAGGCCATCTGTGTTACCATGCTCCACGTCCTGCTCGAAGGCTGATCTGCAGGGAACAGAGATATCATGGTCAGTGGCGGAAAACGGGGCAGGCCACACCCAGCAACGCCATGAGAAAGCTAACACAGAAACACCACCACAGACAGCATACGCTGGAAACACAGCGTGGGATGCAGAAAGTCCCATGCTGTGCTGGAAGCAAAGAACACCTGGCAGGCACCCTGGAGACCTGAATCAGTGGTAATGCAGACGTCAGACAGTGAAGTAAATATCTAGAACAAGAGATGTTGCTTGGAGTGTTGAAAATAGTTTTTCTCTATGATTTATGTTGTTGGGCTTGTACAATGACTAACATTTTGTAAGGTTGTGTTTTTATGGCAGAGGAGGAGATAATACACGGCGACTTATAGCACATTGAAGTTATTTAGGGGCAACGGTGGTAGGAGTTTGTCCCGTTACCAGTGGGCTCCTGGCTTGGACTCCTGCTTCAGTCAGTGGTCAGAGGCTCCGGTGGCACCTTGCTCCTGTCAGACTACCCCAGGACAGCTACAACATAGCTCACCACCATCAGCTTATAAATGGATGTGTGAAGATCTTTGGCTCCTTTGGACTTAATAAAGTGTTACAGGTCATTTATCATTCATAAGCTAGAATCTGAGAAATGCCTGATCATCAGTGTTTCAGCTGCAAGTTGGAAAACAAGTAAGGATTCGACTTCAAGACGCACTTCAACGAGGTCATTTCTTCCACCCAGAGGCTGGATTTATGCTGTTTAGTCAGAAGGCAGTTTTAACCAAACTTTGGCATGTATTATAGCTTATTGCTCACTTATGCTAAGTAAGCTATGTTCAGTTTTCACACTCTGACCACACAACAGGACATGTTGTTAAAATAAACAGCCAACATTTAATGTAGTGCTGTTTGATCTTATTTTGGCACAGTACAGGTGGAATATACCACTGTCATTAGCTTAGCTTAGCATTGGGGGCTTGCTGAAAGCTCATTAACATTCCTATGGCGCTTTTATAGAGTCAAGAAGAGTACAAACTCTTATTTATTTTAGATTACAACAATACATTACTTATAAATGAAAGAGCCAATGGGTGAATGTGTTATTTCTATATCTTTCACTATTTATGCTAAGTTAAGCAGGAGAGTTCTGCTGCTTTTAGCTTCCTATCCAATCTATAAACATGAGAGCACGATCAATTTTCGCATGTAACTCCTAGCAAGAAGGAAAAAAAAAAGTCAATTTCCCAATTTATTTTCATGAGTGCTTCACATTGTGCAATCATTTCCCATCTATACTCCATCTGACTTTATCTAGCTTGAGAAGTAATGTGAGTGTGTAGTACAATCACATGGGCTGAGAGGAGAGCAGTGGGGGGTAACCGTGCTTGAGGGCCATCATATGACAGAATAAGAGAGATTGAGATTGGGATATGTTATTTTCTGACACAGTCTGCACCGAGACATGTTTTATCCCTGAAAGACCACCAAGCAAGCTGTAAGGAGATCGGTGAAACAGAGCGGACCAACTGTCGACCAGGATCACGGTCACGCATGACAGTTTTTCACCGCCACCTCGATTCCTTCCTCTGTACTCCTCCTCCTCTGTCCGTCCACCCGTCTCTCGTCTTCCTCACCCTCCACTGGTCACAATCATAGCACAAAGGAGATTATTTTCCAAAACACCGTCACCCTTCCCTTGTGTGGAAAAATGTAGACCTCACAAGCTCAGGTGATTTCTGTAAGACAAGCAGAGCTTTCCATCGCTTTAAAGAAACGTGAAGGCACAACACTGAAACTTTCAAGAAGAATAACGTGTTCTGGTATTCATGTAAATACCTCAGCCATTACTGTCACCCTATAGGTAGCAGAATGAGGCAGACTGTGATAGCCCACCCTGCAAAGGCTTTGAATGCTAGAGCATCACAAAAATGTCAAAAAAAAGAGAAAAACTATTTTGCATTTAGAAAAGAAATCTGAAAAATGTCATGTGTGTTCAGCCTCCTTGAATCAATTCTTTGTGGAAGCAACTTTTGATTAAATTAATGCAATTGCCTTGACTTTCACTGGGCCATTCTCACAACATTAATTTGCTTTAAACTAAATCATTTCGCTGTGGCTCTTCATAGCTTGGATTTTGTTTTATAACCTTTATAACATCTCCTCCACTTCCTCTCTAACATGTCTGCTGTGCTCATTGGTCCTCATATTGGTCTTCGTTCACCAATGTTTTAAAAAACCTCTGAGACATTTTCAAAAGCAGTTTTATTTCACAAAGTTGAGCTATTATTAGGTGACTCCCAAAAACACGTGACTGCAAACCACTCAAAATTTAAAACCATATATAAGTCCTTCCCAATTTGCAATTTTGCAGTGAGAGTTATGAGTACAACTTACTAGTCTCCTATTAAACAGGATTTCTTCATTAACAAATCCCTTTTAAAATCCAGTACTCAACAATAAGAGTAGCATCCTATCTTCATATGTGAAACATCAGTTGATCTGATTTTCTTATCGTTGTCAGTCACAGGCACGAAGCAGAGACAGAGTGATAAAACTAACAGCACAGATAGTCAAAACACTCCTGATATCTGACAAACGCTCATCATAGGCATTTTATCGCTGTGCCTTGAAATGCTGTGTATTTCCAAGAGCCTTGTTGTCATGGTTCCCCATATAGGTTGATTTTAACGTTATCAACTGTGGCAAGATGAAGCTTACATGGTTTAAATCCCACATGACTTGAGATGAATTAGCAATGAGCATTGAGTTTATAGATGTGGCGTCTGGGGTTTGCTTGGCACACAGAGTGAATGAACCGCAGTGTGAACCCTGAGTTAAGGAGGTCATCCTCATAGTGGCTGCGTTACAGCTACTGAAATGCAGTGCGTCTGAATGCGACACTGCAGGAAGTCCATTCAAGGTTAAGAGCCCACTGCAACAGTACGGTGTAATGCATATTTAAATCAGACTGGAGATGCGCTCTACAGATCTGGAGGGAACCAGGAATGGTGTTTATTATTTATCACCTAGCATCAGATATGATTATTATACTAGATGAGAGGTTGTATGCAGGGGACTTGGTTGCTGAAATGTGGGTCAGGCATAATGGCATCAATTATTCATATCAGAGGTGAACTGAAAAGTAGGGAATTTACTGTACGTACAGTATGATGCAAATATGCAGATGGGTCCCAAATAGCTGTCATTTACCTTCTTAATTTATAGCTTTCACTTCATCGGGTCTCAAACCAGCATATGGGCCCATAATATCTGCGTCTGTTCATATGATAGGCTGATTACAGCAACACAACCGTGCAGCTATTTCACAAAACACCAACCATTCAGAATCAGGTGCAATTATATGCATGAAAAAAGCGGGTGACTAGGGACCATATTGCAAAAGACTAGAGCACAAGCTGTTTGCAGGCAGTAGGTATAAGAGGCATAACTACACATGGGAAAGCTGGCACGCTACCATTGGGGCCAGATGGAAGAAGTAAAGGAGGGGAGGGTTGCAAGAGAGGAAGAGTGTGTTGGAGGAAAATAGAGGGATAAAAATAGATGCACAGGCAGGAATGGACATAAGCAGGTAAGACAAGTTATTTGGAAGAAAATATAAATCGGACCGCTTTAACAGCAGATACCACCAGGATAAACACTATTTATCTCTCGCTTTCAGAAATCCTGCTACATGAAGCAAGGGTACAACAAGCTTTCAGTCCTAAAATGGGTGATTATACACTAAATAAGGAGTCTATGATTGAGACTCACGAAACACAAAAAATGAAACCTTCTTAGAGTTTTTTGGCATTAGGACCACCTTAGAATTAGATGGGTATAAAAACTGCTGTAAATTATTCTTGGCTTTATTCTGCAATCATCAACAAGACTGAGGATCGACACTGTCTTCATCAGAGTCACAAGTGAACACTTCAACAGGGCGAGTGATTACAGACAACAGGATACAGGTGTGCATTATTCATTGGAAGTCTAGAACAAGTAATGTTAGAAGCTTATTGGTCAAATAAAGGTGGAACATACCTGTTGAAACATTAGGTTAATAGATTTTGCACATTAGAGCTAATAATGTCATGACCCGTGTTTCTGCTTATTTATTTTAAGGGTTTTCTGTGTTCAGTTTCTGTCCTGTGAGTTTTCGTTGTTTCTGCGTCTTCCCCATTGATTGATCCCAGCTGTGTCTCGTTCCTGTGATTTCCCTCCCAGTTTATTTAGTCCCACCTGTTGTCTGTGTTCCTCGTCTAATGTCGTATATCAGTTGTTGTGTGTGTATCGGCTCCCTGCCGACACACACACTGCCGTGCTGCCTGTATTGGACTGTTTGAGCTCTCTTTATTAAATCATCTTCATCATCATCACTATAACCTGGGTCTCAGCGTTAATCCTCACCACCTCACAATCACCGCTTCATGACAAATAACTGATTAGTGAGATCCAACAATTTATTCCTGTTGCAGCTGATTTGGCGCTGGTTTGTTCGAAATGCAAAGAAAGTCTTGGATTTATTTTCAAATCTGTCTCTGAAAATCCCAGAATGGCAACACTCTGTTTTCCTGAATTTGCTGCTAAAACCTTTGCCTTGTTATTGTCTCATGGCCATCAATGCCTCTCTTAATGCATCTGATTTGAATCCTGCAGCACAGTGGAAAATGTCAGAATTGTCAAGGGAATAATGACCGGATGGGAAGCGTCTGTTGGTTTATGCGTGTTCTGTGTTCACGAGGCCCATTAGCATGCAGAACCAGTCGGTTTTGAAGGAGTAGAATCAAACTCATTCATCGTCAAAAAGCCAGTTGAGCAGCGGCCCCTTTTTATGACTTCATCTGTTTAATGTTTTTTCCCACCACAGACCTTCTCATGCTGTTTGTTCAGAAAGTATAATCTGGTTCTGTGTCATAAGTACAGCCACAAAATTATAGCTGCAGCGGCCATCAGACTTTCCCCAGCACTGTACCCAACCCCAGGCTTTGGGCAAACAACACTTTCCATCCATTCATCTTTCCAACAACACTGCCGCTGCAGGCAGCTGCATTTACACACTGTAAAATTAGACAAATTGACAGAGGAATGGCAAGTTTTACAAAAAAAAAAAGTGGAATTTGACCAAGTCCAGAGGTCTGGTGTAAGTGAAACTGATGGTTTAGAGTAAAGCACAGATATTCATGAGCCTCAGTTGTTTCAATGCAGAAAAAAGATCCCATGTACCAGAAGGATTATGAGTGAATGTTTGTTCAGGTGGAAAGAGGAGCAAGAAATTATCCAAAACATTGTTGATTAATCAGTTTGTTTGAACTGGTGTTAAAGCTGGGACATACGCCTGCTATTACTTCAATAAAGTTTTAAACTCTACTGTGAAAATCATGTTGCATTAAAAAACAATGCATGATGGCTAAATGTTTCAGATTTATTTGGTGGAAAATAGCTGAACTTTTACATGAGGAAAAACATTTAAACTTTTTTTTTTTTTTTTTTTTTTGGGAGGGGCAGAAAAAAACCCCAATCACAACATACAACATGTGAATAATTCCTTGTAAAGCTTCACAAAAAGATGCACTTTATAAAAGGTTCAGGCCTGAACAGCAGCCTGTTAGCAAGACAAAAGTATGAGGGGCCAATGGAGTGGAAACGAAAGGAGCTCTTCCGATCATTCCTGTTTAGGGAACATCGTTTTGTCACTACAGTTGGCAACCAGTAAGCAACATGTGTGTTAACCACAGGTGATGGCTGAGTAATTAGCCAGCTTATATCAGGTTGTTATATTCCCAATATTAAGCTATAATAAGCAGAATGGAAAAATGCATAATATTCTGTACAATAAGCATTTTTGGATAAAAATTACTACTTGTACAGGAAATATTGATAAAACACTAATAATTAGACATGCAACAATCGTGCTTTTCTTGTGATTTCACCTCTCTTTACTTACTTGGTGTTGGTAGTCACCTGTCGACAGGCACCTTCTGACACCCAACCACAGTATGGGTCCCTGGAGGCTATGCAGGATCTGAAGGACAGTCATTATTAACATCACATATTTTACAAACTGGAATTATAAAAAAAAAAAAAAAAAAAAAAAAAAAAATTTTTAAAAAAACGGAAAAAAAGGGGGGATTCCCCAAAAACTTTTTGCCTTTTCCATCCCTTTCCA